GGGGGGGGCGGCGGGGGTCACGGTATATTGCAGAGAAATGTACAACCAATTTTAACTTGCGTTTGGTAATCTCATCAAAACGTTCATCAAAAAATTCTCAAAGACCATTTGGTCATCTGTTTATGACTGATATACAACCGCTTGTACACGGACTATAAATGTTTACGTCGGCCGTTTACGTTTAAGATTTGAAACGATCTATGTCTTTGATAGGATAATTGTAAATTTAGTCTAACAAACCTTTATATTCTGCCTTGATTCCCGGAATATTCTTCAACCGCTCACACTGATCACGCATCAATGCTACCAAGGGTGAACAAACGATAATTTTGCTGTCTCGGTCTCCCATCTCGCGTTTCAAGGAGACAAGCATCTGGAAAGGCAACGACTTCCCATATCCAGTAGGCAACACCGCAATACTTTCGCAATCGCTTCACTTTCATCAATGTCCGCCATATCTGTTACAACTCCGACCGCCCTTTTGAAAGAGGGTCTCTGATTGGTCAAAAGTTAATGAGTATTTATAAATATAAAGGTCACCTGAACGTGACCTTGACCGCGGCACATTCAGATGTTCGGGCGGAGCCATGAACAGATGATTTTAATCAGATTGGGTTTGAACATTTTACTGTAATGTTTGTTTTACTTTCCGTGTGGGGAGGATTTTTAATTCATCTCAACTGTTATATCAATCAATTCATTTTCATTAAGATGGTTTCTCTGAAAATTATTTCTAATATAATTTAAAATATGTTTCAAGTAATACTCATGCTCTCTGTTTTAAACTAGGAACACTTGCTATGTACTCTAAGTATTTGTGCAGTTATGATTGATTGTCTTCCTTTAGATAATATTTCTGTGAGTTGTGTCCCTCAAAGGATTTCTTCAAATTCCTTTCTGTTATATACCGGATATAGTTTGTTACTTCTATAGGTTCCAAGTTTCCTTTTAGATAAAATATGTTTAGGTGATTTTTGAGAATTGATGGTTTTGCGAAATGTTTTCAAACCAATGGTCTGGATCATTACTTGGTTACTTGTTAGGACCCCTGCACATCTTTAGTAATCAGATTTTACGTCTGTTTGTCCTTCTTTCTGTTATTAGCTCACCTGCCAAGGACAAGTGAGCTTTTGCCCTGGTGCGGCATCCGGCGGCTCGTCGCATCCCGATTCAATGTAAACATTTAGCAACTTCATTCATTGACAGATTTTGGTCAAACTTTATACAAAGCTCAGGTATGGGTATACTTGGGACCTCTTTGTATTTCAGGGATCCAAGGTCAAGGCCAAGGTCACATTTGCTATATATAGAAAATCATCCCGTCCCGTCGCGTCCCGTCTCGATTCAATGTAAACACTAAGCAGCTTCTTTCTTTGACAGTTTTTGGTCAAACTTTATACAAAGGTCTAGTATGAGTATGCTTCATAAATCGTTGTATTTCAGGGATCCAAGGTCACACTTGCTAATTATAGATAATCATCAACTGATTCAATTTAAACACTTAGCAACTTCATTCTTTCATGGATTTTGGTCAAACTTTATATATAGGTTAAATATGGGTATACCCTTGTTTTTCAGGGTTCCAAGGTCAGGTCAAGGTCACTGTTGCTATATATAGAAAATCAACAACTGATTCAATTTAATCACTTAGCAACTTCATTCGTTCATGGATTTTGGTCAAACTTTATGCAAATGTCAAGTATGAGTATACTTTGAACATTGTTGTGTTTCAGGGTTCCAAGGTCAAGGCCAAAGTCACTGTTGCTTATATAGAAAATCATCAACTGATTAAATTTAAACACTTAGCAACTTCATCCAATTTGTTATGGAGATGGTAATAACATACAGAAAAAAACATGAATATTAAAGTCAACTTATCAACTTTAAGTGTAGAACCTTGTGTGTGTGCATACGTGGACTTTTTTCAGTGTAATTAAATATTTGCTTAAGCTTTTGGATAGCTTTTCAGCCTTTGATATCAAAGGTCAAGGTCACTTACTATAAATAGAACATCAGTTTGTGCACTGTATTTCGAATTCTGTTGGACTGATTACACTCAAGTCCTGCTTGGGATAACTTTTCAGGTCCAGTGGTCAAAGGTCAATGGGTCACTATAACTAGAAAATCTGTTTAATGCACTAATGCACAATATCTTGATTTCTCTTGGGCTGATTACACTCTTGACTTAATACAGTGCTTCCTCAAAGAAAGTGCCTGCTTGGGATAACTTTCCAGGCCCCGTGGTTAGGTCTCTATCACTGTTACTATATGAATAGAAAATTAGTTTATAAAATGCACTACATGTACTTATATATTGAGTTCTGTTGGGCTGATTATGCTCAAGACTCTGATTCCAGTGCTTTTATATAAAAAAACTCGCTTTCATTAGTGTTTGCTTCATGTATACCTAACCACAGTTTCTTTTAAATCTTCAATAAAAATATTTATGGAGAATAGTCACGGCGGCATTTAATATATATATATATAAATCTTATTACCGGTTAGCTTGTAATAATAATAATAATGATAATATACAACATTTATAAAACGCCCTATATAATTTGTTCAATTACTCTAAAGCGCTTTAAAACATATTTGTAAAAATATTAGTTATAATTGTGAAACAAAAATGGCTCACAGTCACCATTATACATGACGCAAGAAGATAACCATCGCAATGTACATAAAAAGGAATAAATAAAGGGTGGTATTTACATGACGTCTGTGCAAATAGTCTAAAATGCAGACGTGAAGAGGTAAATAGCAACATCACTTTCTAGCGATATCTAGAAATATCAAAACAAATGTTAAGTGTCTTAGCATCAAGTTTGAATATGGGGATATAAATATAGTTTGGCTATTTTACATCTATGTGATAACTGTCTTTATTGTAAGTGTTGCAAACGTTCTATCCTCTCCTCGACAGTGTTTTGACCTTGATTAAATTGTCGAACATCACGAGACTGTCTGTATTCCTTGAGAGCCATGAGTGTGTCACCAACCATTTCATAGCAGATCCCCAAGAGATTGTAGACTATCCAGTTCTCACCACCTCCCTTATTCCTATCACACGTCACATCTCGAAGGTGGATCAATGTTCTGTCACACATGCTGTTGTCTCCAAGTTCATGGTAACACAGGAACGCCAGGAACACGGCGTATGGCAGTGGCGGGATATCAACGCTGAGTTTGTCAACAGTTGTCATGATCTCCTGGTGTAATTGTGATGGGCAAAACGGTAAAACAGTTTTACTGAAGTTGATATCTGACATAAATGCCTTGCATTTGCGTAGTAGATTGTACCCGTGTCCACAAAAGAGCTTTTCATATCTGTCTATATCCGTGCAGCTTGGGATATCAAGATCAATTTCGGGTGAAGAGATCATGTGATTACATATATCCAATGTTTTCTTGTAATTTCCTGTCTGGTGGTAATATGTTGCCAAACGTAGCAGTCCTGGACTTGTGGACACAGTTGAAGATGGTATCAGTAGGTTCTTGCATTTCCTGAGAGATTTGTACTTTTCTTTGTTTCCTCTAGCAGTGACGTGTTCACCGAATATCTTCATCCCTGTATTAGATAGTGCCTGAACTGTAGCGAAATAACCAAGGAATTCATCCAAGTCCGACGTTGATCCTGAAAGGAGTTTCAACGACAGAGGAAGTTCATCAAAACTTTGGGTTAAGGAAAATGCAATATTGATTATTTCCATGTCACATTGACGTTCTGACCGAGTTGGTTGAGGTAGTACATATTCCAATTCTCCTTCCCTCACACTACGGATACGCTCTCCTATGGTCGGTTGTATGAATGTTCCAACTGAGAGACATTCCCAATTCATGTCATGGAGGTCGGTGAGAAAATCAAGAAGTTTTCGTTGATTTTGACCATGAATTTTGCCAAAGAACATATTATTCGTCCTAATGAAGTAATTTGGACAATGTGCTGCATTTACCCAATTTATCAAAATCTTCAAACAAATTTTGAAACAGAGAAAAGTATGTTTTTCCTGCCAAATTGATTCAGGTGTGCTTTCTACAGCATAGAATATAACTGTTTTTATAATATAGGAAGACAGAATATCTGCTTCATCTAACATTTGTTCTAACATTCCAGATATTTGTTTCAGGAAGTACTTAAGAAGTCCATATACTAAACACTGGACATGAGTTAAAGAATGAATAAGTTTCCTTTCCGCAGTCGCAAATGAAATCCTCCACTGAAGGAATTGGCCAGAAGACATTTTATACCCTACAGGGACTAGATGACAACCACTTTGTGCTATCTGATTTATCAAAGCTTTATCTGGCCAGTTATGTAGGCGTGGCCTACTCACCCACTCATTCGCTACAAGTGGCCAATTATTACAAGGAAAGGAAATAACGGTATCAAACTCTACTGGGCCGTGACTGTATTCATCCTTTACGTTAACTGCTGGGCCATGAACTTTGATATTTGACGATATCATTGAGCTTATTCTTTTAGCGTGTGACCGCTTGTACATTTCACTTGATATTAATTCTGCATCACCTACTGCAACAATGGATTGCTGTAAGTATGAACTAGCAATCTGTCCCAAAGGCTGACGTTTCAGGTTTACATAACCAGGTCGGCAGTTAGCATCTCTCATCACCAAAACTGATACATCGCTGTCGAGAGTAATACTTAATTCCTGCTTTGGACAGATAACTATTACATTTTTGTCAATAAGCATAGTGTCTAGGTCGGACCCGAAAAGGTGAAGTCCTTCAGCCCTACTTCCCGTGGTAAAATGTTCTACATTTCTATCTGGTGCATCACGTAGTAGGTCCCCCACAACAACCAACTTTCTCCTGACAGCCACTGTCTCCCGGCTCCCTATATATCTGTCTAGGATGTAATATAGAATCCAAGACTTCTCGTACAGCTCACCCTGGTCGGACATCTCAGTGATATGTCACAGATCCTGTAAATATTACATAGATACATATATTATATTCTGACAATGACTGTCAGCTCTGAAATATAGAATAATTAAACTATATTAAATTTTGCCAGTATTCATCTTCTTCATATTCTGTTTAACTGTGCTTCAATTCACAAAATTAGACGGAATACGGTTCCACAAGTCAGCAAATTTCTATTAAATAAAAAAAATAAAAAATCTCGAATGCGATTCATAAAATTTAAAGTTGCGTCCACGTGTAGACGATTTTTCCTTGATATTTAAATAGCATTGTCTTATTGTAAAAAGCTAAATATTTTACTTTTGACTGGTAAGATATTTAAGTTAGATTTTAGGTTTTTAACAGCTATCATTTACAAAAGCTTACTTAAACACAGATAATAAAAACCTGTGTGGTAAACATAGCTTTAAATATTTTAGGAATGTAATGTCTTATGATAACACTCAAAACTTATATTATTAAAGAGAAATACATATTCCTGCAAACCAAAATATATCAATGCAAACTATCATTATTCTATAGCTCAAGATAACACAAAGTTCATATTGACCCCGGTGACCTTGACTCTCCCGGCGTCATTCATTTAAACAAATCTACTTCTGTATGTTTCAGGCAATAACGAAATTAAATCTCATGTTTTTAGTTTGAAGCGTTATGCAACAATTTTCAAGTATGTCATTGCCTGCCATAACAGTGGGCTACAGGTTAAATAGCATGTTCTTAGGTCTCATTTTGTCTGTAAAATTGATTTGAAGAAAAGTTCTAATGCACCATCACCGAATGACTAGGTAAGCCGAATACGAGGAAAATATCTTATCGCTTTTGAAACAATTAGAAAAAGTTTATTTCTTCAGTGAATGCGACAGTGCGTTATACGATTCAAGTATGCCTTAAATATCACTTGTCTTCATCAGATTTAAAAGAATACCCAGAATTGTGAGAATATACCTTTTGGCTATGTGCGTGTATATGGGGAGTTTTCTTTCATCAGTGCACAAATCATGTAGATAAAAATTGTATAATGAAGATTGTGTAGATCTTGATTGCAAGCAAATATTTCTGAAAAATATATCTCTGTGCTGGTGATGATGATGAATGGATAAATAAATGTTTTGTAATCGAAGTATGTCCTGTTCATCAGGTGAGGAAGATCAATATCCCTTTGCAACAAAGACGCTACGGTGAAAAGATAGATAAATATCCACATTAACAGATTTCAAACTTGTTTTCGACTTTTTAAATAAAACCGCGACCAGCCCCCGATTAGTTGTTGTTGCAAGTATTGTAAAGAGAAATTGGATATTTGTTCAGATTGGTCTGCAGTTAGTCATTTATATATATTGGATTATCAGCATATTGGAACCCATTGTCACATTGATAGAGTAAGTTTATTACAGTTATATATAATATAAATAATGTATATTACACTTAATGATATATATTTTCTTAGTATTGTGTAATACATTAGCCAGTTAAATAGGTTATAAAGTCTATTTTGTCCATGAGCATCATTATATTACGGTTCAACAAGCCCCCTAAAAGATGCTGTAGTCACCTTAAATTCAACCCCTTGATAAGTCTTGTTCGAAGACCTCAATCAAAAATAGGAAGTTATGTGTATTATTTGTATATATTGAGCTTGCACTTTGGCTATACAAAGTATACATAGCCAGGTTAACTTAGTAAAAAATAAGGCATTAAGGCTGATGTCTTCTTAAAAATAGCTCACTGAACTTATAACATGTCAATCTCTTTTGCCACCCAACTTAGAGCTGAGAAATGACCCACAATTTAAAGTTTATTTATATACCTAGGTCAAGCGGAGCTTTATTTCTCTTCTACTAGCTGTTGAGAGGAATTCCGATCTCAAATAAAGATAGATGTTGCCAATCGAAACCACTGAAAACATAGTAAAATCCCCTGGTAATACACCTTAGCAAATTATAAATAAGAAAACAAAGGCTTAATAACCTTGATCGATAAATGAACTATAGACGTTGTGCCATTTGATAACATTCTGTGATTATATGAATGCGCTAGACACGCTACAAACATCGAAGTGGAAAGGTACGATAATGTTTATAACAAGTCTAACTCTTTTATAACAACATTGAATGCTAAGAAAGGACCTTTTATATGAAGTTTAAGTAGTGTTTATGGTCAAACATCTGTGGTTTTACACATACATACTGGTAAAATATGTTAAGCGGACGTTTTACTACGATTTTTGTACTTTCCCATAGTAACAATCATCTTCTTGCGAGACCTCTCCACACACAGTTAAAGAGAAATAAAGCCCCGCATGACCTAGGTATATATATGATCTCATAAACAAGTTCAATATATTTTTATTACATATCTTTATTCCGATTTTTGATAAGGATATTTGAATATGACTTCCCAGGGGGTTGAAATTTAGGGTGACTATAACATCTTTTAGGAGGCTTTTTGAACATTCAGTCAATGAAATCAGTACAGATTTTGTGAAATAAATCATAAATATGAAATATGATTAATAGTAAATAATAAATGTAATTATACAGATAATGATATGATACCTTGTAATACTTGTTATAAATACAGTGTAATGTTTTCGTAACAAGGTGGTGTCTACTGTCGTTTCCTATACGTGTGTCATTGTGTTCTTGTAGGGTGTTAATTCATCCACTATGTCTGATGTCCAGAATGATTCAGTAAACGAATGAAAACCAGGAACGTGTTTGTTGTCACGCCTCTGCCCAAATCCCATCCCTGTTTCATGTTTATTCTGTACGAAATTTGAAGAAGAATAAATCGCTCATTTGGTTTTGCATAAGCCAGTGAAAGTACCCTTTAGCAGACCTACGCTTTCGCCAGATTGTGATTCCATTTGCTTATCCAAAACCAACTCTTGACTTATCAATTACATATACCACAAAGTACAAACATATCCTACACTTCATTTCTAAAACTATCAAACGCTACCTAAGATGAATAGGATAATGCATTGTAATCACTTAAATCTATCCTACAGAAAATATTTAATTTAATGATGTAATTGATATACGTCAAAATCTTCCCGGAATTTCTCTCAACTAAGGAACCTCCATGGTTTGGTGTGTGATGTCAGAAGAATTTGTATTAAACCCTGAAGATTCCAGGAAGTGACGTTGGTGTCATGGTGATATTTCTAAGATGTGTTAGCTAAACAGTGTGTTTTTCGAACGTATTAGGCATTATTAGGTATTATCACAAACTCGATTTTAACACGGTAAATAAAACCTTAACCAGTTTTTTTAATGTTGCATACTCAACATTAAGTATAGACACCAGTGTACATTCCGAGATTTATCAGACTGAAGTGTCTATATATAATGCCTCTGTATGACAGCATTTTAACTCTCGTATGGCCTGTTTGTTGATTTCCTGTAACTACATGTATATAGCTAGATATTTCCTTCTTTCGTTTTATATATACAATATATAAGTGTATAAAAAAGGGGAACTTCCGGTGTTTAGTTTTAGTCTCTAAGCGTGTGTTCGTGACGTGGTTCTATTTCTGTCACGGTGTATTGTATATATACACATAATGTACCTTTGTTCTCTCATGGTATCTTGTGTATTGGTATATTGGATAGTACTGTAAACATACACTAGTTGTATTATATATTTAGGGGATAGTACGTTGTTTTGAGTGGCTATACTGGCGATTAGAACATGAAACTTGGGTTTGAACTCGAGACCGATAGGTCGAGACTTTAAACCAAATTTCATGTTCTAATCGCCAGTATAGACACGAGAAACAACGTACTATCCCCATTCTAGCACACCTTAACAAATACACTACGCTAATATGTTTAGAAACATTGTATTTCCTTGTACAAAAGTACTTTGTGACCTGAACTGACGACGTGTCATTCTGCAGCGGACTGACCAATCGGAAAGAAGCTTTCAAAAGTCGGTCATTTAGCCCCTCCCATACTGGCGAACGCTCGATCTGTATGTTGACGACGCGGAATATTTGGATTGTTCGTGAACGTCCTGTTACCAAAGTTTTTACGACACATTCGGATTAATATTGACCAAGTTCTTACATTTCCATGTCAGTATGCATACCAATCTGTGCTTATCGACAAAATCGGTGATTATTTTTATAGATTTGTGAAGAGTTTTGTGTCAATGCATAAGACACATGTGAAATGTTTGATTTTATTTCGGATCTAAATAGATGCCTTAACACGGACGGAAAGAACGTTTCAGTAATATATGGAGGTAAGAACAAGGAATGAGTTCTTTTAGTTCATTCAACCAATGCATTTCATCGGTCGTTTCTGTTCTGTTGCCTACTAGCCTTATCAGCGGGATTTCGTTATGAGGCGAGCTTGACACCATATTGTTTTTGTTATAAACGGGGGGTGGCTTAAGTGCGATGGGAGGAACTTAACACGATTGATCATGATTCTATCGCAGATTAGAACATGGTCCGTATCCAATCAAAACACGCGTTGCAAACGAATTGTGTTAGAATGTACTATTAGGTTGTATCGGTGTATTAGATAGTACTGTAGACATACACTCACTATAGTATATGATGTATCATTAAGTTGTATTGGTGTATTAGATATTTCTGTAGACATACACTTGCTATAGTATATAATGTACCATTAGGTTGTATTGGTGTATTAGATAGTTCTGTAGACATACACTGGCTATAATATAAAATGTACCGTTAGGTCGTATTGGTGTATTAGATAGTACTATAGACATACACTTGCTATAATATATAATGTACCATTGGGTTGTATTGGTGTATATGATAGTTCTGTAGACATACACTCACTATATTATATAATGTACCATTGGGTAGTATTGGTATATATGATAGTACTGTAGACATACACTCGCTACAATATATAATGTACCATTAGGTTGTATTGGTGTATTAGATAGTTCTGTAGACATACACTCACTATAATATATAAGGTACCATTTGGTTGTATTGGTGTATCAGATATTTCTG